AGGCATGGACCACCCTGGCCAGATCCGACTTCACGAGGTACGGTCGCAGCTGGCACACAAGTCTTAATTGTGTGAAGGCCCTCCCAGTTACCCTTGATGCCTTCAAGCATTAGCAATGAGTCTAGGAGGACCCCCAAGCTGCAGATCTGTGACTTCAGGGGGAGTGCAACCCCATCAAACACAGGTTGCCACCCTATACCCTGATCCGGCTCATGATCGACCAGGAGGACCTCTGTCTTGTCAGGATTGATCCTCAGCTTATTCATCCTCATCCAGACAGTCACAGCGGCCAGGCACTCGTCCAGTACCCCGGGGGGCCTCCTTGGAATTTGGTGGAAAGGAGTAGTAGAGTTGGGTGTCATCTGCGTAGAGGTGGCACCCAACTCCAAAACTCTGGATGACCTCTCCCAGCCATTTCATGTAGATGTTAAAAAGCATGGGGGATGGATAGGTGGGATGTGTGATATATTCAACCAGTGGAGGCACATGCTAGTCATGTTTTGTGTGTACTCAAGTTCTATGGAAAGGTCTTATCCCAGTCTTGGACTGATAATGTATGTTTAACTGTTTTGAGGAAGAAAAGAAAGGAGGGAGTGTCTGCTTTCTGGTAAGCTTGGGGAAGACAGCATGGAATAATAGAGGCAGTGGTAGAAAAGAAAATTAAATTCTTGGAATTAAATACTGCATCATACTTTAATCATGAACTAAAATAAGCAAAGATTCCCATAACCATCTGTGTTTACAGTCCTTCAAATCTTGTGACCTAAACAATTTCCTAACCCCGTGGGACTAGCAAAAAGTAAAAAAAATCAACCCAAAGAACTATGTTTTGGGTAAAGAACAAGCTTAGGAAATGTGAAATGTGCTAGCTCTTCAGAGTAGTCTTTCATTCAACTTATTAATAATGTAACTTATTAACTCAAAGTATAATTGAAGTCAATCAGTTAAGCTTAGAAATAATTAAGATCCCTCTCTGTGTTGGAAAAAATAACTTAATTTCTGATTTATTTTAATTAATAAGTCCCTGTCCTTGAAGTCAAGTTGTAGTTTGATGCTGAAGCGACAAAATCTGCCCTTGGTGAAAATGAGTTTAGAAGAAATTACAGTTTTAATAAGATCACGCTTTATTTATATTAAACTAGTTTGCATAAATTAAGACAATATTCCCCATCTGCTACCCAGTTTGGCCACATCCATAGAATCATAGAATCATAGAGTTGGACGAGACCTCATGGGCCATCCAGTCCAACCTCCTGCCAAGACATCATGGGTACATCCAGTCCAACCTCTGCCAATAGAACTTGGCCTTGTATTTATTTATACGCTTGTATACCGCTAATATCTCAGCCTAAGTCGGCGACTCATTGCGGTTTACAACATTTAAAAAACAGTATTCAGTTTAAAAGCATAAAACACATATACAATACAAATTATTGGGCCACCAATAATAATCCCATGCATCTCATAACTGGAATCGCAGTCCAAAATTCATCGTCCATGATTACCAATCCTTTAGTCATCAAAATTCGTTGCAACGGATTAACCGAATGCTTGTTTAAACAACCATGTCTTCAATCTATTCCGAAACACCATCAGCGAGGGGGCTGATCGTACCTCTATGGGGAGGGTGTTCCAAAGCCGAGGGGCCACCACAGAAAAGGCCCTGTCTCTCGTTCCCGCCAGCCGCACGTGTGAAGCCGGCGGGATAGAGAGCAGGGACTCCCCAGAAGACCTTAGGGTCCTGGTGGGCTGATAGGCTGAGATACGTTCGGATAGATAAGTTGGGCCAGAACCGGTTAGGGCTTTAAAGGCCAACGCCAGCACTTTGAATTGAGCCCGGTAGCAGATCGGCAGCCAGTGGAGCTGGTGCAGCAGAGGAGTTGTATGCTCCCTGCGCCACTCCTGTTAGTAATCTGGCTGCCGCCCGTTGGACTAACTGCAGCTTCCGGGAAGTCTTCAGATGCAACCCCACGTAGAGAGCGTTGCAGTAGTCTATACGGGACCAGAGTGTGGACCACCGTGGCCAAGTTATCTTGAACATGCGGCCCGCTCATTGTTATGTTAATTTATTTTAATTGTGTATGATTTTGCTTTATCATTTTTTGTACTCATATGTTGTAGGTATTTTACTGTGTTGTTATTGTGCTTTGGTTTTACTTTATTGTAATATGTTGTTGGTCTTGGCCTCTTGTAAGCTGCCCCAAGTCCCCATTGGGGAGATGGTGGCGGGGTATTAAATAAAGTTTATTATTATTATTATTAACTAGCCGTCCCCTGCCACGCGTTGCTGTGGCACACATGGGGGTTCTGTGTGGGAGGTTTGGCCCAATTCTATCGATGGTGGGATTCAGAATGCTCTGTGATTGTAGGTGAACTATAAATCCCAGCAACTACAACTCCCAAATGTCAAGATTCTATTTTCCCCAAACTCTACCATTGTTGACATTTGGACATATTAAGTATTCATGTAGCGTTTGGTCCAGATCCATCATTGTTTGAGTCCACAGTGATCTCTGGATGTAGGTGAACTACAACTCCAAAACCAAAGGACACCCTTCCAGTATTTTCTGTTGGTCATGGGAGAACTGTGTGCCAAGTTTGGTTCAATTCCATCGTTGGTGGGGTTCAGAATGCTCTTTGATTGTAGATGAACCATAAATCCCAGCAACTACAACTCCAAAATGACAAAATCAATTTTTTTTGAGTGAAGGACATACATTGGGTTGTTAGGTGTATCGTGTCCAAATTTGGTGTCAATTCGTCCAGGGGTTTTTGAGTTCTGTTAATCCCACAAACAAACATTACATTTTTATTTATATAGATCTTATTAATCTGTACCAGACATGAGGAAATGACATGCCAGGTGACCCGGGAGAGGGAGCGAGGAGGAAAATCCCTGCCCTCTTCTCCTGGTGCTTAATTTCCTCATGCCAGGAAGAATATAATGGCAGCCAGGAAATGGTTTTTTAACCTTCAATGGGTAAATTTGGAATGTGGGGGAAAGAGTTGGGTGCCCTCTTGGTTTTTCATGCTCTTGGGGTCCAAAAAACCCCCAATCTGGCTGTGTGGATTGGGCCTGGGGCCTGGAATGGGCCTGGGGATCACGTGATGAGGACTCCAGGCCCAATCTACACAGGGGCCACACCTGGTAGGACCCTGATCTTACCATAAGATCCAGATCTTACCAGGTGTTTAGCTAATTCAAAACCCTTGTTTGTTCCGAATTGAATCGATTTTACTGCAGGTGTTGTTTGCATGCCTCTGGTATAACTGAGACAGTTCCTGGTGTTGGGGCCTGTCTGGATGGGCCCTGAGTCTTTCCATATGTAATATGATCTTCCTTTTCCTACTGCCTTCTACCTTATCAAGCATCATTATCTTTTCTAATGAATCATGTTTTCTTATGATATGTTCCATGTATGACAGTTTCAGTTTCTAATCATAGCTGCTAGGGAGAATTTGGGCTTCATTCGTTCATCCATTCCAGTTATATTTCACACAAATACAGAGAGATGGGTGGGAAATTAAAACTACCTTCCCAGCAGACTGAAGAAGCAAGCAGCTGCCAAGGTCCCCAGTACAGCCTTGACATTTCTGCTTTTCTGTGTGATGGCCTTGATGTCATTCCTGGGTAGTCATTTATTTTGCTATTTAAAACATTTACATTTTATGTGGTCCAATGCATACTTTTTCCCTTTAACTTCCCGGTTCTTGGCATTGTGGTATCAAAAATTAGGATTTGAAAGAGAGAAACAGAGCAAATATTTGGGAGTGAAAAAATGACTGAAAACCACAATGTGAATCTAGGGAAAAAGAAAGTCAAAGGAAGATATCAACTAGGTCTCAATACAGTAGAAGTAGTAGTGACTATGCAATGAAAGAATATAATGCCAAGCTAATATTGGTTTGCTTTGTAAATAATATTGGAATAAGTTGATAAGGGGTTAAAATAATTGTTATTATTCGAAACCTGCTTGCAAATAGAGTGTGCCGTCGTGCCTGGGGGCTATAACTCTTAATGAGAGAGGCATGGACGTGGCATCTTTCCCCATGGGATTGCTTCTTGCCCTCTTATAGGAAACTGGCACTCCCAAAGACCAAAACACAACAGATAACTCGAAATGGTATTTATTGTTCACAATGAGTTATCTTTCTCAGGCATAAGCTTGATGTTTCAACAGGGATAAAGGAAATATACTTTACAATCTCTGAAGTCCAAGGAGTTTGCAGCTGAGAAGCTTTTCCTGTTTCCTCTTTCCTCAATGGCTGTGAATATCAGAATAAACACAACCCCAGTCCAATGGCCTATGTTGAAGGGACAAGACCTTCCTCTGGTGCCAAAAGAACCAGTTTGAAGGCGCTTGGGTCTCCTCAATGTTGTCCAGGACGATCTGGACATAAAGCATGAGTCCCAAGGGTAAAAAACCTTAGAATTGGTGCTGAGAGGTAATTTAATCAGGGGCTTTTAGAGCCAAGTCTCTTACTCATGTCCATCTGATAGAAACTCTGATGGCAGAATGAAAAAGGGAAGCACTCCTCTCCTCCAGGAAGATGTGGGGTCAAACAATTGAGTTGAGAAAGCAATTCAACTGGTGCAAACAACATTGATTGACAGCTATAAATAACCAATCAATCCAACTATACATAAACAGGGTAAAAAGGCAGGATTAAGCATGATACAACAGTTTAAATCTTGCAACTAACAGTTTTACACATAGGTAGCGCCACTTGCGCCGTCACATAGAGGATTTGGGATAGGTGAATGAACTGTATATTCTTATGGGAATTTTCAGTGTTTTATAAATGTGGAATGTTAACATAAGTTTATTACCATGAATTTTAATTGGAGTTTCAACACTGACTTTAGTGCTGACGAGAGAACAATTTATGCCCAGTCTTTCTTGACATTTGCAAATATATTGCATAAGCTTTTCTATATGATCTACTATAATGATTTTCTGGAATTTATATTTTTAATTGTGGCCTCCTTTTCTTTCTAGTTAATGGAATCATAACAATCGGATTGACAGGTAAGAAGTCAGATTTTTCTATTTGCATTGTTAATATTTATATTATTAGAATGAAAACCTTTAAAAGACTGAGTTTTGATAAGTTAATACAGAAAGAAAGTTAAGTGTCATAAGGTGATTATTCTTCAGGTTGCTGTTTCCCCAAGATAAAATTGAATTGTAATTTTTGCTTCATACCTGACAACCATAAAGGCATATAGAGAAAATCATGCTTACCAATGCACATGAAGTATGTCACAGCTGTTTTTTTCCTGAGAATATTCTGGTGGGAAGCTGATATGTATATATGTAAAAATAAAATAAGTAAGCCATACTTTAAAAATGGTAGAATTTATCTAAATGATTTCAATTAAATGTACACAAAGTGATTCCAAATTTTCTCTCGATGAAAAGTATGCTAAAAAACAAGAAATCGACTTGTCACACACATCAAAGCAGATATTTCTTTGTATTTTTTAAAAAAAATATATTATACTATTAATGAAATGGAAGTGATCTGGAAAAGTATTCAATAATTGGATAGCACATCACTCTGGGAGCCATTGTTCAGCTCCTTCTATTTGGATAACTCTGTGGATTGAACTAAATGGCACTTCAGCTATGATACATTCTCAAAGGAGATCCTGCATGAGAAGGATTTCTCCCCTTCTGTGCCTGATGGATATATTTCCCACAACAACACTTGCTTCTTTAGGGTGCTTGACAATAATTTCAGTCCCATGCAGCAGAGTGGTGGTGAGAGAGGCGGGTGACACCAAAATGACTGTGCAGTATTTCAGCAGAGATGTATTATTTTAAATAAATATATATATATACAACTGTAGTTAGAAGTAACCACAAACACATTTTGGTAAGCCCAACATAAAAGGTAAAGGTAAGGGTTTCACCTGACATTAAGGACCTCATAACACTGTAAGGGATCATGGGTTTAGGGTGCGGGGTCCCTTTTCGAAGAAATCCACAGAGTCCAATAGGTTCAGATAAACCACACCGTTTATTCAAGCTGATCAGCATGAGACAGACAGACAGCACTTCTGTTTGTGCTTTCACAGACTGCACCCGGCTTTTGTACACCATTATATACCCTCAAGTAAACAAGAATATTTTTGTCATGGAAAATATTTTGACCTTTATTCTTCCTGCCCCATCAATCTCTTGATGGAAAGTACCTTCTTGTACCTGCAGACTTTGTGCTTAACCACAACCTTTGGCTTTTAACCACAACCCAACTTCCTATGTAAGCTCGAACTTTTATGACCTCTTACATGTTATTTCCTGTTTTTAAAACATTTTCTTCCGTGCTGCTAATTTCATTCAAAGCCCCTTGCTTAGCATTTGCTAATTTCACTCAAAGACCCTTTCAACACTACAGAATGAATCCTCTTAAAATCCGGTTTCTGCCTCCTGCAGAATTCTGTGGTTTGTAGTTTAGGGAGGAGCCTTTAACAGCCTCATTAAACTACAAATCCCAGAATTCTGCAGGAGGCAGAAACCAGATTTAAAATGGATTCATTCTCTAATGTAATGAAGGAATAAGCCTAGTCATGTCCGACTGGGGGGTGGTGCTCATCTGGCGTTGTCCGTAGATGCCTCCCAGGTCGTGTAGTCAGCATGACTCCATGGAGTGCTATTACCTTCCCACCAAGGCAGTACCTATTGATATACCCACATTTGCATGTTTCCGAACTGCTAGGTTGGCAGAAGCAGGGCCTAACAGCAAGAGCTCACCTGGATTAGAACCACCAACCATTTGGTCAGCAAGTTGAGCAGCTCAGCGGTTTAACCACTGTATCACCAGGGGCCCCAAGTTCAGCATACATGTATTGATACACCTACAATTCACAGCTAATTTACTTTTTGAACCTTTTAATACACACAACTCTAGCAGTGTTGCCATTATTTCAAATCGCATAGTTTTGTTTACACCGATCAATAGCAAGGGATGGGATAATCATGGGAAGAAGGCAGACTTTCTTGCATTGCATCATGTGATAGGGACCATCATCTTTGAATTCCTGTTGCCTGCCTTATGCACTGAAATCTTTCGACTGAACAATTCTCCAGGCCTGTTATTGAGGAGCCTTTAACTGGAGTTGTTGTAGGTAGAAACTTGAGATTCGTTTATGCAAAGCACATATTTATCCAAATGAAAAGAGCTTTTCACCAGTACTTATAAAATCAGTTTCATATTTCAAATGGCTTTGAGATGTAAACAATCCATTCAAAAATGTTTCCTTATTTTGGTTAGCATTCTAGAAAAAGTTGATTCTCGTATTTCTCTCCAAAAAGCATCAAGAGATCACTGGTGTTTCTTTGCTGATTAGAAACATTCCTCCTCCACTCTCTAGGTGCACAAGAAAGGAGCATCTGCAATGAATCCCTCATGTTACAAAACTTGCCTGTGTGTGGGAAATCCTTTGAAGAGATGATGCACAAGGTGGACTCCAAAAAATGGTGCAATCTAACAGAATTCATCCTGTAAGTGTCATTAATACTTTTTGAACCTTAGAATGTTCTTTAATCCATTTCCAAAGGGACAGATTGCATCAGGCACTTTCAGAGAAAGAAGTTATAACGAACAGCAGGACTGCTCAACCAAATTATAACGAGGCACACCTCCACGACAGACTAGCTCACCAAACGATAGAGCTCCCAAAAATATAGAGGAAGAATAGTTGTTGAATCAACTAAATATTTAGAAGCTAGGAACTATGACGTACTGGAACTGAAAGGCTTAAAAGGATTCTTTAGTAGATTTTCGCTGCCACTAAATTAAGAGTAAACAGGCTGTGGTATTTGTGAGAGGTTGCTCAGTAACATACTCTGTGCTACTATAATGTTCTTAGAGGCTCTGTAAAGTTATCTTGAATAATGCTTTTACCACAAGGATAGTCACACACAGAGGCTGATGAAAGTTGCTAAAAATAATCAGAACGTTTATTTAACGGGCTTGAAATATCCAGGTACAAAAGCGTGGTGGTTTCATTAAAATACTGACACATGCAAGCTTGTGGTTATGTAGAGTAAAGATCTTAAAACTTATGGGTACAAGTCTTAAAAAAGGATCAACACAAAAGATTACCTCAGGAAATGAATCTCTGAGAGTAACTCCCAAAAATCCCCCCTATAGGAAACTAGCCAAATCCCTGAACCAGCTTTTCCTTAGGGAAAAGAACAGACCACAGCGGGGTCCTGTTCCACTCAGTATTCTAGCTATCTGTTTCAATAGCAGTTCCTGAATACCACTCCACAGACTGTCCCAAAGTTCTTCCTCACAAATCCAAACTACGCTAGCTAACACCCACACTTTTTCACTCCACCCTTCCAAACTCCCAACTCACACCAAACTGTTCACTGGCAAAACTCAAGCCTCAGTTTAAAAATCACTTTTTTCCTTCAGCCCACTTAAGCTCCGCCCCCATCTCGCTGACCTAAGATGGCTTCTCCCTATTTCCCTTTCCTAAAATGTATGCTGTGGCTTTGCCAGGTCCACCTCCTTATGCTCTTGCCAGCTAGCTCAGGTAAGGGAATCATCACATAAGTCAACAGACGGATTCCAGTACTGGTTTTATAATAGCGATGTTGGTTGCACAGACAAAGGAGAACATCACATTTACTCAGCATTCACACACATACATTCAGCACACTTGCTGTCTCTTCCCAGCTTGCTGCTGAAAAAGAGAGGTGGATGCCCAGACTCTGCATCCCTCACAGATCTGACACACTTTGGAAAAGGAATGTGTCTTCTTATGAAGCAATTTTTTTGCTGTTGTTGTTTTTGATTGGTTGACAACTTGTCATTCAGCTAAGGCAGTGTTTCTCAACTTGTGGATCCCCAGATGTTTTGGCCTTCAACTCCCAGAAATCCTAACAGCTGGTAAACTTGCTGGGATTTCCGAGTGTTGTAAGTCAAAACATCTGAGGACTCACAGGTTGAGAACCAGTGAGCTAATTAATTCCAGGACAGATGTTGTTTTTCTTTCTTAATGTAAGGAGCTATTATTTCTGACTTCCTTAACTTAAAGAATCATTGTCTCTGACCATGTAAACATGTGTTGTTTACACTAAAAGCTCTCAGGTCAGTTATGTCCGTTCAGCAGTTTAGCAGTTTTTCTTCATCAGCACTTTTCATACCAATATTAATCCAATCTTCACCTCCTTTTTTCTCCATAATGCAGTTTTCCAGATTCCAAATTTCTTAGGATGGGGTCTTTAGCCTTGGTAAACCTTAATAGGACCATAGCCAGACTCTAGTTATACAATGCAATTCAATCTACTCATCACATAAGCTTTTCTCTTTTGAATATGTAGAAATATTAGCCATTGAGAATTATTACAATAATCTCAACCCATGAGAGGCCAATTTGAAGCATGACTACCACAACTGGCACAGATCACAGGAATATACGTCCCACCTCGTAGTCTAAGATAATCCGGGGAGGCCCTGCTCTTGCTCCCGTCAACACCACAAATGCGTCTGACGGGGATGAGAGACAGGGCCTTCTTGGCGGTGGCTCCCCACCTATGGAACACACTTCCAACAGAGGTAAGATCGGCTCCCTCCCTCCTGGCTTTCCAAAAGAAATTAAAGGCATGGTTTTGGGACCAGGCTTTCGGATAATAGATGTAGCAGCACTTTAGAGGGACATGACTGGAATGACGATACGGCTGTTTTACGGTTTTAATGATTGCTTATGTATTGTTTTAACTATGATTTGTGCCCAATTATGATTTTATTATTGTAATTGTCATGTAGCGGCCTCGTAACTGGGCACATTGTAAGCCGTTCTGAGTCCCCCTTTGGGGGTTGAGAAGTGATGGGATACAAATACGGGAAATAAATAAAATAAAATAAATATGACACTCATCTGAGTATAGTCAGATCAAGTTGTGCCTTTTTTCTTGTTCTTGATTTTCTTGTTCTGAAATCAAAAGCACTTTAACATATGCTGGAAGACATGTGTACTGTAGTTCATGAAAAAGTTAACTCAAAACTGCAAGTAGAATTAAACAGAACTTGAATGCAAACTTGAATGCAATTTTCCTGCTTCTTGGCAGGGGGTTGGACTGGATGGCCCATGAGGTCTCTTCCAACTCTATGATTCTTTGATTCTATGATTTAAGGATCTAAAGCAGGCATGGGCAAACTTTGGCCCTCCAGGTGTTTTGGACTTCAACTCCCACAGTTCCTAATAGCTGGTAAGCTGGCTAGGATTTCTGGGAGTTGAAGTCCAAAATTAGACTGGGAAGCTGTGATCACTCAAAGTGTTCATGTGAGCTTCATGGAGAAGGTGGGCTCATAAATATGATATATAATGTATGTTTATTAGATTTGATAGATCTGAAAATAATAATAATAATAATAATAATAATAATAATAATAATAATAATACTTTATTTATACCCCCGCCACCATCTCCCCAAGGGACTCGGAGCGGCTTACATGAGGCCAAGCCCAACAGTACATCAATAAACAAAAGCAATAAACGAAAACAATAAATACAATACAATTAATATAAATCACATATAAACAATAAACAGTAAACGGTAACACACAAGGATTTAAAAACCTATGGCTGGGCCAAATGTTTAAAAATTAAAAAATAAACGCTGGGCATGAACAAGGTAGGATATAACTGGCATAGGGTTTTCAGAGAGAGATGAGGACGCAGTCATTCCTAAACCAGTAGTAAAGTGCATTCTGAGGGCATATTGCTGAGAATTTTCCTTATTCTGGGATGGCACACTGGAGCAACCACGTTTTTAGGCTCCTCATAAAGACTGCCAGAGTTGGGGCATGCCTGATGTCCTTGGGGAGTGAGTTTCAGAGTTGGGGGGTCACCACCGAGAAGGCCCTCTCCCTCGTCCCCACCAATCGCACCTGCTATGGAGGTGGGAGCGCGAGCAGGGCCTCTCCAGATGATCGAAGAGATCGTGTGGGTTGTGAGAGTTCATGCAGAGAAAAGGCTGAAAGGCTATGCAATACCTGTCAACATCTGTAACTTTGAACTTTGGAATAATGTGATTTTTCTCTACTAGCTACTAGAAAAATTCAGGCACTGTTGTAATTGAGAAGAGATTCTAGACTTTGGAGTAACTGCTGAAAGAGCTGCTATAGGTCTCTTGGAGGCTGCTGAACAGATGGAGTACTGTTTGTAGGTTGAAGTGCAAAGCCCAAGTGTTATATTCATGTGAAAATGATTGAAAGTTTGGTCTACATTTAACAATTTAATGCATTAAATCACAGTAGCATTTGCTCATTTAACTGTAAGTGCACTTTGTTTCCCCTGACTGCACTTCTCTTCTGTTTGCAGTATTACTAGCACTGATAATGACTTCTTTTCAAGGAGTTCATTACCCAAATTCTTTCTGTGTTTAATGAATGTCAATTGCTTTCTTTTCAGTAGTTAAACAATAAGTTGTCTTTGCATAAAGGTTTTGAGATTTTAGTTGCATTAAATGGATGTGTCTCTGCTCTGAATTTTTAAATCTGGATGACCACGTGTAAAGATGCCACCAATTTGCGAAAATTTTATAAAGGAGCCACCGATTTGTGAAGAAGCCACCACTTTGTAAGGGCTTATTAAATTGATAGCGTAGCTAATAGCTAGTAATATTGAATTGGTCTTTCTTCAATGTGTAGCGTGACTTAACTTGGAAAAAATTTGTAACAGAGACTGGGCTTTATAAAAACTGTAACAAGTTTATTGAAATGTAGCAGAAGCTTGATGGTTTCAATGTTTCTTGATTCTTAGAGGCACATATCTTCAGAGGTTACACTTATAACAATCCTTAAAACAACTCTGGAAAGGACTCTTCCTTCTACTAAACAGGCTTCAACCTTATTTTTCTTCAAACTGTGTTTCTTTCCTTTGTGATATTTCTGTTGCAATAAAGATTCTCACTGGGTTTCTCTCACCCTTTCTACTCATACACTAAATACTAATATAAATAAGTCAACTAAACTTATTTAAACTACCTAGGCTAAAAGCCAAAACCTTCCTGATTCCCACTACAGTAGAATCAGCCTTTCCCTGTAGTTTTTAAACTACAGTCTACCTTCCTGGTTCTCACCACTACAGAACTAGCCACTCCTGCAGTTCACAGACTACAGACTGACCGTTTTAAAATGGCTGCCCTGCCAAGTGGCAGTTGACCCCGCCCCTATTTCCATAGCAACCCAGCTCAAAGTGAGCTGAGCTGGCTACCATCTCCCTCAGTTATGCAACTTTAAATACTTACCCTCTCTAACGCCTATCTATAACTATACATAATAGTAGATTAAAATTTACACTTCACCACACCACAAATATGTCATATTGTGTTGAAAGAAGGGAGACAGTTATCTGCATACTGTATATGTATATTAAGTGTCTATTTGTCAAATTTATTCCATGCTCTTTTTGTTTTTAGGTACTACAGTGACTTTACCCAATGTACAGAGCACAAGGCTTTAACAGCAAGATGCTTTTGGCCTAACCCCCTTGCTGAGGGCTTCATCACTGAAATACATAGACAGTTCTTTTCAAAATGTTCTACAGTAAAAGTACACTGGGAAGATCCACCGGATAAAATTCTCATCACCTTGATTTTCATGCCAGTTCTTCTGACAGTTGGCATGATCGGCCTCATAGTATGGTGCAGCAAGAGAAGTGACATTCTGGTGTAATCCTGCCCTTATCACAATTTCTTATAGCATATCATCACCACCACCAACATCAGCAACAACAATATCATTTTATTTTGTTATTTTTTGTTGAGAAAGGTTAACAAAATTATTATATATTTTATACGCGAAGAGGAATGAAAGTGGGGAAAACAGCTTCCATAGCTCGTCTTCCTGAAATAATACCGATATCATTTTTACAATGGATAGAAGACTGACAATCCCATTTCTGTAATGGCTTCCATATGGAGAGAACTGAATTTGCGGTCCAATCTGCCTTCAACACAAAAGTTAATCTCAGATTAAACTATGAGGGCATATATATATATATATATATATATATATATATATATATATAAATGCTCTGTGCATAATGAGTACCTTAAAAACAAAAGAACCAATGAACGAAATCACACCAAATTTGGCAACAAAATGTCTCACAACACAAGGAGTGACCATCACTCAAAAAATTATGATTTTGTCATTTGGGAGTTGTAGTTGCTGGGATTTATAGTTCACCTACAATCAAAGAGCATTCTGAACTCCATCAACGGTGGAATTGAACCAAACTTGGCACACAGAACTCCCATGGCCAACAGAAAATACTGGAATGGTTTTGGTGGGCATTGACCTTGAGTTTGGGAGTTGTAGTTCACCTACATCCAGAGAGCACTGTGGACTCAAACAATGATGGATCTGGACCAAACTTGGCACAAGTACTCAATACGCCCAAATATGAACACATATGGAGTTTGGGGGAAATAGACCTTGACATTTGGCAGTTGTGGCTCATGACAAAAATAGCAAGAAAAAATGTTTACCCACAAGCATAAAGAAATTTCATATATTAGAAACCAACACTTTTCATTACTTTATTTTCCAGATCACCAGACTGGGCCACAGCAACGCGTGGCAGAGGACCGCTAGTAATGTATAATGTCTCTATCCTATGGAATCCTGGGAACTGTAGTTTTACAAGGTCTTTCTCCTTCTTTGACCAAGCAACATTCTGCGTCACTAAACTAGAAATCCTGGAATTCCATAGCATCAAGTCATGGCAGTTACAATGGTGTCAAATTGCATTTATTCTATAGTGTACATTCACCCTGTGTATTTCAGATCAAATGCAGTAATTATCTCAGACTTAAATATGATTGAGCCTTGTAAACATGAGCCTTAATGAGTTTAGCATACTTTTCTTGTCCAAGAAATGTAAACATGAATATAGCTGTAGAACATAAGTTTTTTGTCGTTCTGTTTCCCAGCTGCATTAGGGGAAGGTTAGAAACACTCTGAGCAAGAAATGCTTGTAAATCAACACACGGATGTGTTGGCTCTTCTCCATATAAGGAAATATCAAGAGTTGCTCTTCAGGCATGGCATCTCGGAATGAACTTCAGGAAGGATGTGGGTGTCCTGCAAAGGAGGAAAAAGAATGAGAGGAAATTACTGGTAGTTAACTATGAACTTCTTAAAGGGGAAAAGAAAATATATATCTCTTTAAAAAAAAGAAAACACCTGAGGACTAAGATTTTTCAGTCCATCATTTTTTTTGTTCATATGCCACCCAATTAAATAGAGCTGGAACTGCTGCCAGCTTTGTTTAGGAAATTGACAGCTAAGATTTTCATCTGATGTTCATTCTAAACCACCATGCAAATGCTTTTAATGGGATGCAATCTGTGTTAATGCTCTTTGTGTTACTATTGGTTTTCTGTAAAATGATATTGTCATGAAGGACTTTTCAATAACTTTAAAGTATAAGTTCTTTTTATTGTGATTTCCAGTGTGAGTGGGTACATCAGATTACAGAAAACATTTAGACAAAGAATGACATTAAACATGCAGACATACAGATTCTATGCAACTACATTGGATGTACAACAATTTGTAGTTACACTGGACTAACAGACAAAGGGGAATTACATTTTCACTCAACATTCACACACATGTACACACATTCATCCACATAATATTACCATATCCTTTTCTCCCTCCTTGGAGAAGCACCTGTTAGGCCAGACCTTGCTTTCCTGCAGACTACCAATGTATAGTTTCATAACTTAAATAACGCCATAACTTCAAAACGCTGAAATGCCAAAACTTTCCCTAAGAACAATTTCAAGGACCAGATCTCTATTTTCCATACAGCAGAACCTGACTCCCTGCACAAAATCTATTATTATTATTAAACTTTATTTGTACCCCGCTAGCATCTCCCGAAGGATTCGATGCAGCTTACACAGGCCGAGGCCTCAACACACAACACAACAATACAATCTAAGCAAATCAAACAATTAAAAACAGAATAAAGCAAAATAAACAACAGGCACAATACACTAAACACAATAAAACTGGGCCGGGCCAGAGCAATGGGTACAAGATTAAAAGTGCTGATGTGACAGGAGGTGTATATAGGGCTTCCAGGGCAAGTGCGATGTGCGATGTGCAGCAATAATTGGTTCTGATAAAGTGCTTATGGGACTTGGTGGTGGAGATTTCCTAATCTGGGAAGGCGCATCGGAAAAGCCAGGTCTTCAAGTTCTTTCTGAAGACAGCCAATGTAGGGGCCTGTCTAAGGTCTTTGGGGAGGGTGTTCCAGAGTCGGGGGGCCACCACGGAAAAGGCCCTGTCCCGCGTCCCCACCAAGCGCGCTTGCGACACCGGTGGGATCACGAGCAGGGCCTCTCCAGATGACCGAAGAGAACACGTGGGTTCATAGATGGAGATGCGGTCACGCAGGTAGGCTGGTCCCAAACCGTTCAGGGCTTTGTAGGTAAGCACCTGCACCTTGAATTGGGCTCGGAAAATAAATGGCAGCCAGTGGAGCTCCTTGAACAGGAGGGTTGACCTCTCTCTGTAAGGGGCCCCAGTTAGCATCCTGGCTGCTGATCGTTGGACCAGTTGGAGCTTCCGAGCCGTCTTCAAGGGCAGCCCCACGTAGAGCGCATTGCAGAAATCCAATCTATGAACCCAAAAGCACACTTCTTCCTCTTCCCTTGAGAAAGAAGACCCAAAGTAACCAGAGTGCTCCTGTGCGAATCTGCCACTATCCATAGGTACACTATCTTGCTCCTCCCAATGGAGCAGAGCATAGTGGATGGAACAGACTCCTCAGGTCTGCCACATTTGAGCATTATTAGATTGATATTTTATAGGAATATTCTGCTGATGTAGTCCCAAAGTTGTAAATTAATGATAGACTTCTTCCATCCTGGCTCTATCTCAATTTCCTGGCCAGATGTTGATTCTTCTCGATGGGTTTTGATCTTATGATAACTTCCTTCTTAACATTGTAAACATTTCTCATATCACTGCCCAGTTCTTATCACAGTTTACTTTTCAGTTCTTATTAGCAACTTTTAATTACAGTCCAGCAAGCAGGTTTAGTTATTGCAGGCCTTAATATTATACTGGTGTTTCCAAAATTATTAACTGCATCCATACATCCTTCCATTCTTCCAGTCATTCCCACACATCATATTAAATTCACATTTATCAAATCTGCAATGATATTTTTGTGACAATATAAGGGGACAATTTGTAAAGCTTTTCATCCAGCTCCAGTCCAGTGATATTATAATTTCTCAAATACAACTCCACAGGGTTTTTGTGTGTGTGCCTTGTATAAAACAGAGATAACAAAGGAGAGAAAGGGATCAATATTCCTACCCATCATCTGGACTACTTAAGAAAGCCAAATGTGTATTTTAATGATTTAATTCTAAAACATCCATTTAAAACCAATGTTCTTTTTTTAAATATCACATTATCTTGAGTATTATGTTGAACTGGTGAAAACTTGGGCAAATAATATGCAGGATGTTTTTTCATTGCAAAATAGATAAGAAAATATGCATTTTTATTTTAAAATGTTATTTTTGAATCTGAACGTACTTTGCACACTACATAAACTCTTTTAACACAATATGCTACAAAAAACCCTAGATTTATTTAAAAATGATTATGAAAATTAATGGAGGATAAGGCTATTAGCAGCTACTAGTTCTTTCAAGGTCATTCAAAGACAAGGAATATCCGTTGCCTGAGAACTACCATGGGAGAGGTCTGTTGACTTCATGTCCTTCTGTGGGTACCCCATAGACCTCTGATTGGGTCACTGTTGGAACAAGGTGCTGTACAAGACAGGTCTTTCATCTGACCTTGTAGTGTTCTTGGTGCCTTTAATAAGAGGTGAATGTCTTACCATTTTTTGTTCTTTGACCATATGACAGGTAGTAAACATCTACAACAGAGAAATCAATGAATACTAATTGATCTTTTGTGGGAGAGCGAGGCACAAATTTGCTGTGCTTTCTCCTTTCATGCTTGCTTAGAAAGTTAGAAGGTATCCTCACATTAACATTTTATGTGTGAGAAGTATGTGATCCTTAAAAACCTCTTGATAGGAAGACCCCACCACACTCCAAGGCAGCAATACTCCACTGCCAAACAGCTCTTACCATCAGGAAGGTTTTCCTAATTTTTAGATGGATTCTGTATTGCTGTAATTTGAATCAATTGCTCCATTTCCTAATCTCTAGAGCAGCAGAAAATATGCTTGCTCCCTCCTCAATATGACATCTTTTCAAAGATTTAAATATGCCTAATATCCCCTCTCTTAACTTCTGATTCTCCAGCCTACACATTCTCAGTTCCCTAAATCATTCGTCATAGGATTTGGGTTGCAAACCTTTCATCATTTGGGTCGCTTTTCTCTGAACACATTCTACCTTGTCAATATCCTTCTTGAATTGTGGTGGCCTGAATTGGACACAGAATTCCAGGTGAGTCGTGACCAAGTCAGAATAGAGTGGTACAGTTACTTCCCTTGCTCTAGAGCAGGGGTCCTCAAACTTTTTAAACGGAGGGCCACGTCACAGTCTCTCAAACTGTTGGAAAAAAACATGAATGAATTCCTATGCACACTGCACATATCTTATTTGTAGTGCAAAAAGCACTTAAAAACAATCCAATAATTAAAAGGAAGAACAATGTCAACAAATATAAAATTATTAGTATTTTAATGAGAAAAAAGCCAATGGGATTTTT